TTTTACAACACATTGAAAGTATGAATTGAACACTTGAGAGCCAAAATGCAACTAGTGTGTCTTAACTCATTCTTGTCAAATTGTCGATTGGTTTATTATATCCAAAATTATAATTATAATTATAGTCTACGTATGCCTGTATGTAAATAGATATATGTGTATATATCGAAATGTATGGAGAGAGAAGTTTTGAATCTATTTAATATATATTTGATTTTCTGGACATTATATCCTCATGACAGGAAAAAAAAGATTTGATGACAAACGAAAGAATCATAAGGGGGATCGCAGAAGTGCCTCCCTTTATTAATATGAAAGGTGAGCCTTGATGTCAGTCAGGTTTGCTTCCTTACGTGGAGATGCCAGGTGCTACATTGGACTCCCACGTCGTGACCTGTGCAGCAGGTATAATTATATTATACGGTTCAAAATACATGTGTGTATGTTTAAGTTGAAGGAGAGCAAAAAAAATAGAAAGAAAAAATGGAGTGCCACCTCGTCCTTCTTATTGTAAACCTTCCCTTGTGCCCTTTCCCTCTCTTGTCCTTTTTAATACTGCTTTTTCCTTTTTAAAGTTCCTATACCTCACCCATCATGCTCTTCAATTCAAACTTGTGGCAATTTCAAAACTAGTGTTGAACTAAAGTAAAAGATAAAGGTTACAGTTACAGAGAAAATGATTTCCCCACTTAAGGCTCAACACCATTAATTATTTGAAGTCCAATCAATGAAACTAACTGTTGTTGTTTCTCTCATGTTGACTTTATTACTTTTCTTCAAACATGGCATATGACTTGAAAACCTACTTTGCATATCCTTTAGGATTACTCCTCTTGATAGTATGAATATTATACAGAAAAAACAGAGAAGAACTAGAAGGATTGTTTTTTGATTCACAGGAGGGATGGCTGAATGCACCATGAGGAAGACAATCCAGCTGAAGTCAAGTGGATGGCTTCCATGAATGAATGAATGGAAAGGGGATGAGGTTGGTTGGTTGGTCACAGGGGGCCATGAGCTTCCTTGTGCTGGGGGACAAGGAAGGAAAGACACTCCCCACCCCACCCCCCTCCCTTTCATCTGTAACTTGTGTTAGGCTCATGTCTTGCCAGAGGCTGCAACATTACCCACCCTCTCTTGCACCCACTCCCCTAGATGAATGGATTAGTGAATGGATGAATATATGACATTAGATGGATGATTAGAAGTGCCATGAGTCCAGGATGCTCCATACCTCTAAGTTTGATGTGGTAGTATAGCTGGGGGGGGGGGGGGTTCTTCTTCATCACCCACCAACTTATGTTATCACCCAGATGCAAACAAACCTACCAAGTGTTTGTTCCCAGGATTGTTTACTTGCTCTTCATGGATGAAAATGGGGGGGGGGTGACTGTGCAAGCTTGATTTGTTTTTCAGCCTACAAGGGGAAGAAGCAGATTCAGGTGGGAACAGCAACAGCAAAGCCATGGCTTGCTTCCTTCCTTTCCAGAGCGCATGTCCTGGGCTGATTCTATGAGATTACACCAACAAAGCTTGAACAACTTCCTGTTGGTTGAAGTCAATGCTTGTTGTATAATAAACTGTCCCTCCCTCTCTCTGTTTATTCAATTCAAAGGGGGATGGAAGCTTTCATCAGAGTGAGTACAATTTACTGCAGTTTACGGGTCTGAAAAGTAAAGAGCAAAACAACCATCATATCAAATTTAATTGTGTATTTGGTACATCTTGTACTCATCATGATGAAATCATGCTCACAAAAGCTTTGGGATGATTACAGTGTTTAGGGCTCTGTCTGAGGCCAAGAGTTGTTTTTTTTGTTTAGATTGTAGATTTCTAGCATGAATTTAGGAATTAAAATAAATAAATGAATAAAAATTGATGGGTTTTGAGGTGGGTGTTTTTTTTTGTGATGATAAGGTTTCAGAAATCTTAATGGGTGATTGAAATAAGTCTATTATATTCATTTGAAAGATCTGAACTTTACAATGAGTAGCTTCTAAGTATTCATGTAATAATGTACCCAAATTATTCACTTTAAAATGAACTTAGTTGTTGGAGAAAAAACCATGAATAAATAAAATAGTAGTATGAGGAATAAATAAATTGGAATCCAACTTGTTACATGGTTTACCACCTTTGATTAAAATGCTAATGTTGGAAAATTGAAAGATGATCTTTAAATACCACATGCAGTTGATGGCAGAGGTGATAGTCAAGTTTGTGATCTCCTTAAATTACATAAAAAAATCAGCACAAATAAAAAATTGGAAGCCAATTGAAACCATCAAAATTGGTGACATGCACAAAACACATGGTTTATCATGGTGAAGCACAACAATAAAGTGAGTAATGATATGTGATTTTATTATCTCTGCATGGTTGTTACTACTTGGCACATGCACCTCACATTCTACTTTGAGACAATCAGATTTGTGAGTCAAGACTTTGAATTGAACTCTATTTTATCTTCACAACTTAGATGCCTTCATAAATTATTGACAAAAACTATACTTGAAAGAATTGAACATGTGTTTGGTTTTGGAAATACTTATACAAACTCTAAAAAACTGAGGATTCATTTTTACTAAAAATTCAAAACAATCTAAACTTAGTAGTTTTTGGTTTAAAAAGAAGCTTAAACACAATTCTTAAACGATATTGTAGAATTATTTAAAAATATATTATTTTTCAATACACTCTCATAAAATTATTTGGTACAAATACATACTTATTTTTTCATTTAAAATTAAATATCCTAGAGTAGGAAATCTCAAAAAAAGAAAAAAATAAAAAGAAAAAAGAAGAAGATAAATTAGGGATCACAATTTACACTGTACATCATATTTGTGTCAATATTTGGTTGAAATATTTCGCTATCTCACCCAATTATAAACATTTTGCTCGTACTTGATAAACATATATATATATATATATATATAGATATATTTGGCTTCTACCTGACACATGTTCACAAATGAATTGAGTGAATATCTTAGAACATTATCTTTTTGAATTACTTTAATTATCTACATTGTGGCTGAAAAGATAAGAAAATATAATATTTTTTTACCAATTATGAGTAGCTTGTTATAATATCAAAATGCAAAATTCCAAATCATCAAAATGGTGTATCGATGTTATTTAGAATGAATTTAATAGTCTACTTGCAACAATCATCTGGTTTATTACTACCTTGTACCTTCAAAAACAGCTATACATTTTTGACGTAGTCAGTTCTCTAATAAATCAAATTAATCCTTTAGATTATTATTAAAAATATAGTATTTAAATATTAAAAAATTCCTCTACAAATCATTTAAGAATGTAATGCCCGTTTTATCTGCTGAATATTTTGTGGGCTGAACCAAACTTTTACTTTAGTTGTGGTCCACACAATACTATTTGTTTTTATTTTATGTTATTTTATTTTATTTTTTAATGGAATTATTCTATATTTTAAAGACATTGAAAAAGAAACAGTAATTATATATAAGTCAAAAAGGCTATTGTAGATGATTTTAAGATTAAGAGATGTAAAAACCAAGATCAAATATTTTGGATTTAATCTAATGCATTCAAGCTAAGAACTTTGTTCTTGCTTTTATATTGAGTGTCAGCTTATTAGTAGCATGTGGGTTTATTTCAAATTATTAAGAATTTCATGAGGTTTATATAGAAAGTGTGTTGATTTATTGAATTTCAAGAACAAACATTTAGTTTACATTATCTATTTCAATTTTATGTGTTAAAATTTTAATTACTTAACTATTGGTTTGATTGAACATTTTATTCTAAAGATTTATGCTAATAATATTATGAAATATTAGAATACATATACATATATGGTGAAATTTGTTGAGGCTGATGAATGAATTCTTTGTAAAAAGAAAAAAAAATCGACACATGAAATAGATATAACAAGTATGTAGAGTGAATTAATAATTCACAAAAATAAATTATTGTTATATTTGGCTATTCCAAGAATAACTTATACATTCATATTAACAAGTCATAAGCAATATTCAAATAGTACAATTTTCTATATTTAAATCAAATATTAAATATTTTCAATATGTTTGAAAAACCGAGTTCATAAAATATAGTATACTTGTAATTACATTTAGCAGTACATCATCAACATTCAAATTTCCTCATTTAGTGATTTTCTTTACTGCTAACATCATAAAATAACACTCAAGCACATCAATTAGGTTTTACATTGATAATTTTTTTTACACTAATTAGTTTATTTGTTCATTCATTCATTAAATTAATATATTTTAATATGGTTTCACATGTGTTTATTATTATTATTTGTATTATTGCCACATGTTATACAACGTATCAATCATTGAAACACATGCTATTGGTGTTATATCAAAGTGCAAATTTTGTAAAATAATCACAAGGGAGCAAATAATTCCATATAAATCTTTTTTTGTTATTTTTTTGATACACTTAATATATTGTTAAGACGGAAAATACTGTCCACTGCAAAACCTCACATTGTCAAAATTTTAAGTTTTATGCAGTTTACTATGTACATCTAAATTCAACTGAAAACCAGTGTTACAAAGTTAATTAACTTTTTGAAACAACCAACACAATACCCACAACCGAGGATAATTTCTACTGCTACATAAATCCCAATCATAAACTTTACACCAATTGAAACATCCAATCTAAGACTTAGTAATTTGCAAGATTAAATTCCCTCTTTCCCTTTTTTTTCTTCTTTTGTTTCTATTCTGTAAATTGCAAATATTCGTGAATACAACACAACTCCATCAGAATATCACAATAACACTATCATTAATGTCATTTCTATTTTATCTATCTACACGTCAAATGTTTACACTCTAGAACTCTATGACGTGAGCCACACTAATCTGGATGTTAGTGTAAGTGGGCGGGCCTTGGAGAAGCATGTATGTGTGGTGACGCGAGCGATGGTGGACGATGGCAGTGATCTCGCTCGCTGGTTCTGGCGATGGTCTGATGGTCTGTAGTGTCTGTGTCGTAAATGCCGTGGGGAGGAATAGGAATAGGAGGAGGAAGAGGTTTAGGGACGAAGGATTAGGAGTAAGAGTAGAAGCCTCTCCTTCCTCGCAGGCGTTTCGTTGCGGTGCGGTGCAGCTGCAGAAACCAACGGCACTCCATGATGACCGACACCAGCTCAATCGCTTCCTTTTATCTTTTCCTTTTCCTTTCCTTCCTGACTTGGTTTTCAAAGGTACAATCAATGATCTTACATCCCGAAATTCGAGTGAAAAAATGAGATCATACGTCGAAGGAAGGAGGAAACCGCAAGGGACTTGAAGGATGGACGTTAGGCAGGTGCTGCATGTAATGTGAGGTCGAGCGCAATTGTACCGCCGGTCCGGTCGACTTCCTGCCTGCCTGCGTTCAGCGCTGGCTGGCTGGATGGCTGCTTGCCTGCCCTCCCCTCGTGTGTTCTCTCAGCCAAACCCCGCCACATTGCTAAGTCCACCATTTGATTTGTTCACTCCTCTTCCTTCCTCGTATGTTGCACTGAATCTCTCTGTGTGTCTCTCTTTCTCTTTTATCATCTTCTCTTCCTCTCGCTCTCTCTCTTCCTGGTGGTCTTTGTCAGTCCGTTTGGCTGTGAGTACGATGTAGTCGGTTCCCATTTTTCGGGCTGCCGCTGTAGAACTGAGCATCAAAACCATGCACCCCCCCCCCTCCCTCCCTCCCTCCCTCCCTTGGTTGCTGTCAAGCTGTTGCAGGTGGAAGGTTAGCTCATGATTGTCATCATGAATGGGCTGGCCCTACCGCTCTTTCTTCTGTCTTCCTTTTTGTCCATACTCCAGAGTGCCCACCATCTCTCTCACTCCCACATTAATTCAGTGCCTAGCTAGCTGCACGTACAGGACCTTCATGTCCCCGATTCCACTTCTTAGTCGGCTCTATACCTGCATGCAGCCTGCGTAGGCAGTATTAAGGAAGTTGCTGAATAATCCCTCTACTGGCCTTCAACTGCTTCTTAAGACAGTGTTCAATGTTGACGTTGTATGTTTCTGTGGGTAGATTGGCGAGGTAGTAGACCTAGTGTTACCACTTCTCACTCATTCTTGGTGTTAGCTCGGCAGCTGGCGAATGAGGCTGACCATGATTCCTATTTTCTGGTTTGGTTCCACACGAGAACTCAATCCAAATTTCCAAGCGCTGTAAACAATCTTCTCGAGTGAAGAGTAGCGGAAACAGATTTCATGGAGTAGACTGCTATTTGATAGGGAAGGGGTGTAGAAAACAAGTAACCGACGAGGCGGATCAATCAACCGGCGCAAGGAGACCTCTCTTCTCTTTCGCGGCCTGAATATTGCAAATCATGCGTTGTTTTGCAGTCGGTTGGCACAGCTTTGGAGTACTGTGGGTAGAGATTCATTTCTGCAATTTCGTTTTCAAGTGCGCGGAATGCAGTTTCATTGTTAACAGACATCATTAACATTTAGAGTTGGCCAGGAAGTGCCAGTCAATGGAAGAGGGACGAAATGCCTTGCATGCTCGCTACAGGGCTCCTACTCCCTGTCATGGCGATTAAGACTGCACACATGCATCAGGAGATCCATGACAAAAGTAGTGCGGTGCTGGTTGGTTCGCTGTAAATGATGAGAGTAGACCTGAAGGTCGGCTTCAACCCTGTGAGAGACAACCACGCAAAGTCTGAGACAATGTCAGGAGGTTATTGGTTCGCGCGGATGTGGTTGTTTAGTTTCTTGCTCATTATCTCTTCATCGTTCTTGATCTTAAAGTGCTCAGCCACGACAATTGCCGATGAAGGTATAAGTTTCTCAAACAATTGGTTTGATCTTTCAACTGACTGCAACTTTATTCTGTTCCGCCATGGATCTCTTATATACTACGGGGAACAGAAAAACGTTCCTCTTGTTGCAAAATATTTCGCGGTTAGTTTATGATACTTTGATAAACATTTTTGTCATGCTGCACTCACGCGAAGCTCTCAGTCCGAAAACTCAGTGTGTTATTCACAACTGCAACCCAATGCAATGTGTTGTACAGCACGTTATGAAAAACAATAGATGGTGGATACGCAAAACCTAAGTCTAGATTCGGATCAGATGTTGCGCGCGGGGCCCCGATTTCTTCGTATGAATAGTCAAGTGCATCGATTAAAGTAAGCATTCAAGGAAGCATGAACAATGTTGAGACGAGTAAATCAACTTCAGATAAGGAACCGCGCTCCTGAGCGTTTACAATTCTTCGTGTGTTGCACTTCGAGAATCTAACGTCGAAGTAGATAGAAGAGACGAAGAGGTTCTCATTCGTTTGATGACGTGAATTTGAAATGCGCAGTTGCCGCATTGATCGAGCTTAAGAATGGGTTTGAGAACGGCGAGATTGAGCTGTTTGACTGGCGCGAGGGAAGCCAGAGCCCATGCTTCTGGCGTGGCGTTACGTGCGATAATACTACCTTTCTGGTTACCAACTTGTAAGCCAACACTCTCCTTAGGTTACGACTTTGTCATCATGACTTTCAGCAAGTGAGCAGATGTTAAGACTCCTCTTCAGTTCAACCTCCCTATGAGCATACCATTTTTGAAGTCGTACTTGTGCTCTGTGAGTCTAAATTTCCTCGGTTTCCTTAAAATAGTCTTCAACCATTTTCATATTAAACTCAATGTCGTTCGTCTCATTTACTTTGAACCGTGTGAATTTGTTTTTCACTTTCAACCCACTGTAGTAGCGCGATATCGAATGATTCCTAAATACCTCAGTAACTTGTTGCAGAAATATCTCAATGCTTGCGCTCACTGGGGAAATATCTCCATCAATTGGAAATCTACACAGTCTACAATATTTGTGAGTACGACTGTATCCATTTGGTGCAGGAACTTAGTCGACACTGATAAACGTTATAGTTTCCGTCACGCTGTATTTTCTTTCGTGACGTTTTGGTGTCATACAGTATCGAAAACATTCTCGTGCTAACAAACTTCTTTTATATCGTTTTTCAAGATTAACAATGACGTGAGTTCTGGCTGCAGGGATATGAGCGAGAATAATATTTCTGGGCAGCTTCCTACAGAAATCAGCAATTGTATGAGTTTGGTTCACTTGTAAGCCCTTTGCTGCACTCAAGATGTAAAACTGTAGATTAGGTTAACATAAAGTAAAATGTGAACTCACTACACCTCAGATTTTGTGTTTGGTACTCAGATATCTCAAAGAAATTCACGTGATATGTGCACTATGTGTCCCACACATTTGTTGAGAATCTGAGAAATATATCCGATTCTGGCAGGGATTTACAATATAACAACTTGACTGGAGAAATTCCGTATCTGATGTTGCAGCTTCAACAGTTAGAGTATTTGTGAGTAACTGCAATTTCAGCATTAGCTGTCTTCTGTGTTCAAAACATGTTCTACAACTCTGCATCTGATACAGCTAGACAAATGTCGAATTGCTCTGTGGTGCACAAATTTGAGATCAAAGCATGATGTGCAGAGCTTTGGGATACAACCATCTAATCGGCCCAATTCCATCAACTTTTTCAAGTCTTACAAATCTTAGGCATCTGTAAGCAGCTCGTTCGCTACACTATGGGCAATGATTCTCTGGATTAACATGGTGGATGCGTGTTACGTTTGCTGTAAGATGTGTTGGCATGATGTTTTTATCAATCTTTCACTGAGAAAGGTTATGTGGAGTCACCAGAGATCTGCAGATGAATGAACTTTCCGGACCTATTCCGGCCTTAATTTTTTGGAGCGAGTCCCTCCAGTACCTGTAAGTCCTTGGCCCAAGATATCTTGAGATTCGTGTTAATCTTGTAGAAAAATTGGCTTGTGAAAAAAAACTCCCAAAAGTAAGATGCATTATTTGAAAGAGTCGTCGCTATGGTACTCAATCAAAGACCTGTATGTGGCCTTTGTGCAGCATGCTTAAGGGGAACTATCTAACAGGGAGTTTGTCCGCCGACATGTGTCAACTTACCCAGCTTGCCTACTTGTGAAGCGTCTAAACCAAACTCTCGCTATTCATTGGTCTCAACTTAAATTCCTTTTTTTTATACGTAGATTTTTTTTTTCTTACTTTCAAAAGATTCAAAAACTTATTTGCAGTTAATTCACTTAGCTTCCGAACTATTCCTAGCCGATTGATAGGTGTTTGACCTTGAATATGGTGTATTATGCATGCCAGCAACGTGCGCAACAACAACCTTACAGGACCAATACCAGACGGAATCGGAAACTGCACATCTTTTCAGATCTTGTATGTTCTCCAAAAACTTTCAATTTGAATTGGAGTTGGCTTTCCCGTCGTGTCTAGCACTCTTTAGCTGCAATTTTCATTTTCCATTATCGATGTGGGTTGTCGGTTCTGAATTTGGCGGAATTGTGATATTGGGGAACAGGGACTTGAGTTATAATGGCTTATCTGGAGTAATACCATACAACATTGGCTACCTCCAAGTGAGCACTTTGTGAGTGAATCAATTACAAACTTGGATCTAATCAACATGCTGTTTTGACCTTGATGAAATATATGTTTTTCTGAACTTTAATGAAATTTATTCGTTAACCGAAATCCAAAACCCTTTTCTCAACCCATTCCTAATGTTCCTCACCAGTAATTTTTTCTGCACATTGTCATCTCGATTCACCAAGTCGTTTCGCCATTGTTACTCTCTAAAGCCTTTCTTTTATCTAAAGCATGCCTAGTATTGCAGGTCTTTGGAAGGTAACAGGTTCAGCGGCCGAATTCCAGAAGTACTTGGGCTAATGCAAGCACTAGTTATACTGTATGTCACAAGCTCTTAACTGCATGCTCATTAATTGGAAGTAGATGTGCCAGCATAGCTATTTTGGAAGAAATTATTGCTTGTATGCAATCGGGTAAGTGATCGTTACTTGTTTGCTTGTCTCAGAGATTTGAGCTCGAACCGTCTTGAGGGCCCAATTCCACCCATCCTTGGAAATCTGACTTCAGTAACCAAATTGTAAATCCTTCACCTAGTTAAATTCTACAGTATTTTTAAACGGTTGGTTCATGCTTTTCTGCAAACTAGTACTGATAAGCTCTGTTTCATATTTTAGCGCTCATCAAGTAATTGTCAGTCTGCACTCTTCTAATTCAGATATAGATGGTGTTCACCATACTTTTAATGATCAATTTGTGGTTGGTACATCCTCCAGGTACCTCTACAATAATCGCTTGACGGGTTCGATACCTCCAGAGCTTGGGAATATGACCCGGTTAAATTATTTGTAATTTACGACTTCATATCTTTGTCCCTTCATATCGTGCATCGTGTTTATGCACCAATGAAAGAGATTACCGTGAAAGGCTTGCAGTATGAGATCTATTTACATGGTACATGTGGTGCGTTCATTGACGTAACCTTCTTCGGATTCCTCTCCTACCTATAGCGTTCAAGCTCTTGACATCCCCTCGATGTGGCCATGTTTCTCCAGAGAACTGAACAACAATGAATTGACCGGCAGAATACCTTCCGAGCTTGGCTGCCTGACTGATTTATTTGAGTTGTAGGAACTTTCTATCTCTTTCAAGCCCTTTTTGTTCATGTCATCAGCTAGATTCCTTAGGTTTTAAACGTTCATTCTTCTGAGCACTGGTTTCAGATAACAAATGACTATTCAAGAGTTTTTCAATGTGGAGAACAAATCCTCACGAAGTAGCTCTTTGTTGCATTTTACGAAAATTCAGCATAGTCTGCATTTTCTGATGAGGGTTTAAATGGTTTCAAGGTTTTTCATGGTTTTACTAAGTGTAACCCGAGTATATCTTCTTTAAAATGAAATTTCTCGGGCTTTGTTCTAATGATTCCTGTTTGAATGACAGAAAGTTGTCTGAGAATGAACTAACAGGTCCTTTACCTGGAAACATAAGCTCCCTTGCAGCCTTGAACCTATTGTAAGTCGAAATGTTCACCCATTTCCTTTGTAAAGTTCAGTTAAGTGTTGGAACTTACGTAGGTCATCATGCGGAGACTTAAAATGCACTTTTATTGTAAATCAACAAATATGCTCAGTTGCTTGTGAGTGTCTGCGCAGGGATTTGCATGGAAACAAGCTGAACGGCACCATCTTACCTGAACTTGAGAAACTAACCAACCTGACAAACTTGTAAGTGACATTTGACTCTTCTTTTGATAGCTTCACAAAGATGAGAAACACGCGAATATCTCTCTGAAGTCAAGGCCGGTTCCACAACTTCTACGCAGTGGGTACACCACTTGGGACCAACCCAGATGATAGAGAAAAAATACTTTCTTTTCCTTTCAGACTTGTTCTCTGTCCTACTCCTTCACTCAAGAAAAATGTATTCATTTATATTATGACCATGTGAAAAATACTCCCACATATAGTCTTTGATTCCTTCAAGTTTATCTTTCATGCTTACGTAATATCATCAGTTATGTGGTGCATACAAGAATGTTTGTGGTTTTCATTTGGAATGTTGGTTTACAATAATCATAACCAACCATGCCCTGGTGAACTGAAGTTCTTGACACGTTTTAGGAACCTCTCGTCGAACTTTTTCTCGGGGAATATTCCGAACGAGGTTGGACTTATTTTCAACCTTGATAAATTGTGAGTCCTCTTCAACCTTCTCAGAACATTGTCTACACTAAAGCACTTCATAATCTCAACAAATACACTGCTTCCTGGTAATGTATTTAATAGATCTTTTGTTTAAAATTAAAATGGAAGAGTTCCTCATGAGTGAAAGAAGCAGATCACAAGGTTTACGTTTCTGAAGCTTCTGGGTTGAGCAGAGATCTATCGAAGAACAATCTGACTGGCCCTATACCACGCTCCATTGGTAGGCTTGAGCATCTGCTTTACTTGTAAGCCTTCTAATTCCACAGATTGTAGTCGAGACCTTGCTTCAGATTTGGAAGTGCTCTCAGCACGGCAAGCTGTTTTCAACTGCATACAGAAGTGAAGCATTTCAACTTATGCAATAGGCACCAAACTTTTTGACATTCCACTTGTCGGTTGTGAGGGCTCGACAGGGACCTGCATGACAACAAATTGAGCGGCCCAATCGGTGTACAAGTGGGCACTGGTAACTCCACCGCACACAGTTACCTGTAAGTTCCTATTTTCTTTTCGTTTGGTTTCCCTCTCGTGAGTCATGAGTTGCTTCTCAAAGTAATACTTGGTTAGAGAGTACGATTTTTCATTTTCTGAAAGTTTGTGCCAAGGCAGTTATTTCTGCAGTTGCGGATTCGACTATATCTAACGAGTTCTACTTGATGTGTCTTATTCCCAGAGAGTGTTCCCACCTGAATTACCTGTAAGTCTTGAGTCCCTTTTCAAGCTACTGTCTTCATTTCAGGTCATGTGCTAGACAGATTTGAGAAACCAGACGTAATGACCCATCATGAAATGCTTGAGTGGTTTATGCGATACAAAAGTATTCGTGCTACAATCTGGATGATATCTTACTTAGAAGTTCTGTTTCAGCGATCTTTCACACAACGCTCTATATGGACCAATACCTATTGAGCTCGGCCAACTTGAGGAGGTGAATTTCATGTAAGAACAATTTCATTCAGTGTGGGTTCTATGCCCAAGTCTTGATCCGTTTAGTCAATGAAGGTCTAATAGATTGGTGTTTATCACCTATCATCTGACAATTCTGCTGACTTTTGTTGTTTGGCAGAGATTTTTCATTCAACAACCTCTCAGGTCCAATTCCAAGGCAGCTGAACAATTGCTTCAACTTGAAGAACTTGTAAGCTGCGCCCATTATATTTCAAGTGTGCAATTCAGTTTATATTCCCCTGCACTGCTTTTCAGCTTTTAGGTGTAGTTTCTTAGTGAAACATGCTTCTTGTTGCAGGAATCTATCATATAACAATTTGTCGGGGGAAGTTCCTGTTTCAGAGGTCTTCGCGAGATTTCCTCTTAGCAGGTAATTTCGTCCACTTTCCCCAAGTTCCAGTTCCGGTGGCGGAAGTACGTTGCATCCTTGGTACCATCGAAAAGTGGTCGATTGCCTCTAGTGAGTCGGTTACTAACTGCTAACTCCTGTATTGATTGTACGGATGTGGGTGTTCGGTGTGGTTGTCGTAGCTACTTTGGCAACCCACGGCTGTGTCTCGCAATCAATAATTTATGTGGGTCGACGCTGCCTACGGGTGTATCTCGAACGAATGGTAAGCTTTCAAAGGTCCCTGAGAACTCACTTGAAAGGGACATATCATGGAAGAGCTAATGAGCTGTGTGATGTAGACTGCAATTATGCAGCTAGAGCGATCGCCACCGTAGAGTCCATTGCGGACCTTGTGACGTGACACTCGTATGAAACCTCTATCCCACTCGAAGCACCAGAAGAAGGCTTAAGTCTGAAAACTAAGCAAGCGTTAGTTTAATGCTCAGGTCCATTGGGAGCAACAGCTGCCTGGGGGATTTCGATCTCTGCTATTTGTCTCCTTGCTCTTTTGCTTTTTGGGGCTATGCGTATCATGCGACCTCGTGATCTCCTGAAAATGTCCAAAGCACCACAAGGTATGACGAGAATTCTGAATGACCATAATCGTATGCACTACCCATGTGTTCATTCATGATTAAACCGTGCTTTTCAAGGGAAGAAGTCACTTTGGATTATTCCTACAGTTTTTTTGCAATAGACTGTAGTTCCAGAATTAGACTCTGTGGCTCACTATCATTTACATTTCCACTATGAGCAGGGCCACCAAAATTAGTGACATTTCACATGGGAATGGCGCCACAGTCTTTCGAGGAGATGATGTGTCTAACTGAAAATCTAAGCGAGAAGTACGTGGCAGGGAGGGGGGGCTCTAGTACTGTGTACAAATGCACCCTTAAGAACGGTCATTCAATTGCAATCAAGAAGCTATTCAATTACTATCCTCAAAACGTTCGCGAGTTCGAGACAGAGTTGAAGACACTAGGCAATATAAAACACCGGAATGTTGTTAGCCTGCGTGGTTACTCTATGTCGTCAGCTGGCAACTTTCTCTTTTACGATTTTATGGAATATGGTAGCTTATATGACCATCTTCATGGTAAGAACTGCCCTTCGCAGCCCCCCCCCCCCCACTGAACTCATCTTAGAATTAGATTCCATGTTGATTCCTGTTGATTCGAAAAAAATGAATAATTTTTGCACCGCACCAAAAATACGGTTTGATTGACTTATAATTCAACGGTTCTCAAAATTGATTAGAGTATTGAATTATTCTGATATTGTGCACAGGACATGCAAAGAGGTCGAAAAAGATGGATTGGAATACGCGTCTGAAGATAGCATTAGGATCAGCTCAAGGACTGGCATACCTGCACCAAGACTGTACACCTCAAGTTATCCACCGAGATGTGAAATCGTGCAACATACTTCTAAATGCAAATATGGATGCGCACCTTTGCGACTTTGGCCTTGCGAAAAACATTCAACCTACCAGGACTCATACCTCTACGTTTGTGCTGGGGACAATAGGATACATCGATCCAGAGTACGCTCAAACTTCTCGCCTAAATGAGAAGTCTGACGTCTACAGCTTCGGTATTGTGCTGCTGGAGCTTCTCATGGGAAAAAAGGCTGTTGATGATGAAGTGAATTTACTCGATTGGGTACGTCTTTTATCAGAGTTGAAGCTTAAATCTTACATGCTCGGCTTTGATCGTCATTCTGGGAAAAAAAAACAAAAACGCCTTCAAGAAGGCCAACTAGTAATGATTTGATCATACTTCTTTGTTGGAATTCCCAAGTCCTCTTAGAAGCTCCTCACGTTTCTGTTCCACATGACTAATGTCGTTGTCTCTCAGGTAAGGTCCAAAATTGAACAGAAGAACTTGCTGGAATTCGTGGACCCATATGTGCGATCAACTTGCCCAAGCATGGATCACCTTGAGAAAGCGCTGAAGCTAGCGTTGTTGTGTGCGAAGCAAACACCTTCACAACGACCTACCATGTACGATGTGGCTCAAGTGCTGAGCTCGCTGCTACCAGTGGTGTCACCTCGCAAACCTCCCAGTTATCCTTCTCCAGGTTCCAAGCACCGGCGTTACGTCGACACATATAGCGCCAAGCCAGCCGAGGGCATGATTGCCAGTAGCAGTACTTCTGGAGGTGACTTGTTAGACCAGTTCGAAAATGTGATAAATTCACGAAACATGTGAGAATTAAGAGTCCTGTTCAACTTAAGACTCCACTCCACTTCCCATTCTATCCACCCGTATATCCTTTTGCAGTCGAAGAGAGAAATTGAACTGGGAGGACGGGCGTTGTTTGTGGGAGGGGAAGAGGCTGTATTGAGTGTAAATATTTAGTGTAACTTGCATTCTTTCTACTGCCGAGAGAACTCATACAAGTTGGATGGCGACTGCGGGCCACCCAGGGATCCCATTCGAATCACTTTTCTCACTTTGGAGACTGATTAAAAAAATGTAGATCTCACATTTTGCACCAGTCACGGAGTGAGATTGTAACTGTTTCTTACAGCAATCAGCAAAATTGGATTCTGTTGCATGCAGAGGTGTGCCAGATACCATTGGGCCTTACCATTGGGCTGATGTGAAACATTTAATACTTTCATGAAGTCATTATTGGCCTTTGCATTCATCTTGGCATATGTGATCTAGTCCGCTGTACACACAACTAATTATTCACATAGTAGCTGGGTTGGTGAAATGTCAGACGAAGAGTGGCATTCACCTAACATTGTTTGATAAGATTACACGCTTGCAGGTGAATTATATTCACTGCTGCAACTGACAACTGTTGAACTTGGAATGCTTATTAATTTTTTCAAAATATATACGAAACTTGTCTAGGTTGTCATTTTTGTATCTAACACCTCACATATTTGAACACTCCGTCACAACTCAATAATCGCAGACAGCCGGAGAAAAAAGAGCTTAGAAGTGCAAAGGGAAGTGATCTAACTTATGACATTCAAAATTCAGTGCTCTCTACCAATTTACCTTTTCCTACTGCTACAAAGCAGCTTTAGCGACTCTTACCTAGCTGGACCTTCCTTCTACGTCTAATTATTTCATGCTCCTGCGCAGGCTACCACCTGCTAAGAGCCCGCACCCTAGCCCAAAGCCCCAACCTAGTTCCTCTATAATTGTACACATGTACAGGCGTCGCAAAAGCATGAACAGGTGACTTCCTATCATGCGCATGCAAACGAATCACTTCCCCAACTTCATTTTAGTGCTGGTAAACTTGTGTCTAATCTGCGAAGCCAGAGCAAAACTAAGAGATTGAGTGCCTCCGCGGTCTTCTTCCAAACCCACTTCGTGAACTAGGGTCTGGGGTATGAACAGGCTTGCCACTCCCGTTACTGGAGCTCAAGTCCTTCGAGTCTCTGCGAGCAAAAGGGTTCAATCTGCTTAATTTCCTACCAACTGTTGACTTGGAACTCTTGATTGGTTTCTCATGTATGTCTTGCTTCATTAAGGCGTGATCTTTTTCCAGGTCAGTTAATCGCATTCGCATGCGAGCCAGTTCCAACTTCAATTCTCGGTTCTCTCGTCGAATGACCGAGTAATTTTCTTTTGGTGAATGAGAAGCGCTCAAATTCTCACTGCCCAATCGATGCTGATAGTGTCCACCACCAGAGTCTACTGCATCGACAAAAGCTCCTGCTGCTAGAGCATTTCGCATGCGCACCTGCTCGAAGTAAAGAACTTGAACAACCACTTGCACCGGTAGTCTTTCATTCTGGGCTGCATGTGTGCAAGCCTCCTGTGATAGTTTCTGGCAATCCATCAACTTGCATATTTTCTTTCGGTCTACCTCCGACAATGCCGGATGTGCCTGGAAATCAGAAGCACGTAATTTAAACTTGGGAATATGAGAAAGAGAACTAGCTGTGTGCAATAAAACTCACGAGTAGTTTAAAAATAAATACTTCGTGAACAAGCAAGGTCTTGTAACAAAACAGTATTTTCCAAAAATCCAATGGTACAAATGCTCTCTAAATCACTTACATTCAGACAAAAAATAAATTGCAAGGCAAGTGACTTCGAGGAGGTTAGCAAGGATATGACATGAGAAAATGCAATTGACATTTATGTAACTAGAATCGTGAATTTCTCTAAAACTAAATATAAAACAAAGTCCTAGCATTTAACACTCATCCAAATTAATTGTATAGCACCGAGGTCCATCTAGTGTAGTATGAACAACAGAAAATGAACAGCTGAAGGAGAACTTCCAAGATTCATCAACAAACAATGCAATACAACCAGTGCGTAGGTATAATACAAAATGAGGTCTCAAATAGGATCATCATTGGCCGCAATACCTTGAGATAAATATCGATTGCTCTGTATAGTCCATCGTCCACAACTCTTGCGTAATCAGGTAAGATTTCAGCCAGAGCAATGAACTTGGAGAGCTTAAGGTTTGCATCAGGTGCAATTTCAGCTAGATAGCTATCAACAAGCTTTGCTACTTTCATCATTGCACTCTGAGAAGGAGAGCCTCCACCATCTGAATCGTACATCGGATGAGCAACCTAACAAAACCACCCATGCTGTCTCAGACAAACATCAACGTAGACAAAACTACATAGACTCTCACTGGTCATTTGACGCTATAAAGCTTGGGTATCGACATTAGCTGTCATACTAGAGAGTGGATGAATAAGATAATCGTTCAACGGTAAAACTTTCAAAAATTAAAGCCAATAGCTCTCTTTAATAATGTAGCAATAATATTCGAAAAACACGTAAAAGAAGAGAAAATATAAACCCATGCAAATGCTAATAAGCCAACGCTGTCGGTTTAAAAAATGTACTTGTGAATCTTCGCTGTCATCTTGTTGCAGAAAGTTGACAACGATACGATGAACTATGTCATTGTCGAACAAGGTATCTCCTGTGTAGGAGAAGGAAGGAATTAACAAATCATCCAAAGTAGCCTGCTCCAGTTGCATCCCAATTCGCTTCTCGAGATCTAGTCTGCATGCCAAGGTTGTATCTAAAATGATTGCTGTTCGGAGTAATCCAAACAAGAAGCTGCACGACGCTGTGTTTTTTTCAGGAGGCAGCAAGCTGACAATAGTTTCCACCAAAATACGTTGTTCGTGCTCCATTGCTGTAGAAGTATCATGAACCTGCGTTGCAACAAATGTGTTCACGGTAAACAACCTGGTAGCACATATAATCTACCTCCAGTAAGAAGATTGACAACAGTAACTACTCGTGAATTTCTGGTACCTTCAAAGGTCAGTAAACAAGGCACATAAAAAATGGTTACTAAATATTGACTACATCTCATTGCCTTCACAAAACGCTCGCTCGCTGCTCAAAACTAATCCGAATCAGATGCAGGTGAGGAATTATTTCAAAGGTTTAACTTCAAACATGCCAATAGGCATAAGGGATAATACGGTAGGATACAGTAGATATAGAAAAGCTCCGCGGCTAGCTTAGCTACATGTATTGCTGCTTGCAATCCTAGAACGCATCTTACAAGGCAAAATGTAAAACATTCAGAGGGAGATGGCACCTTTATCTTTGGAGGTTTCAAATCGCTTCGCCCGTTTTGTTTTCTGTTAAGTCCTTTCAAAGATCGTTGAGCGAAATGCATGAGCGCCCCTCCAATACTCTCTACCCGTAAGCCCTTCATTCTCATGGCAGCTAGAACCCTTTGATAAAAATCAATACGCAGAACAGCCAAGTCTTCGGCCCACCAGTCTGCCATGGGAACTTTGCTGGCATGTGAAAGGTTACTGCTACTGGAAAGCTTAAAATTCTCAGAACGACCTGAGCCCCCAAATTCAGAGCGACCAACGGCATTGCTGTTCTGTTCCCTGCAATTCAGGGCCAATAAACTCCAGTTCAAACACAAAAGAAATATCTACGGCCATTTGCTACTGAAGAAGAGAAAGAGAGAAATTGAGAGAATTCTGAGAAGGAATCCAAAAATAAAAAATTGTCAGTTCACCCTTCAATATGTTTCATGGCTAAGGTTTTCACAGAGGCTGCTCAATAATTAACCCAAATGAATAGACTGGAACAACCTTAGAGACGATAACCTACCCAAACCAAGTCTGCCGAGAGAAAGATATCATTAATCTAGCGCTGAAGGCATGAAAAAGATAAACCCCAGGTGTCACGTGTTAAAGTACTATGAAACACATCATCACCTGCAAGCTTTCGTTGCTGCAGACTCTATGCACCTGCTCACAATTCCCAGGTCTTCTGCAAGTGGAAGAAGATTCTCACAGTTATGTAGAACAGCAATGGAGTCCGCCAAACTTTGTAAGACGACCTCTGAAAGAAAGGCCTCAGTTCGTGCCACCAGGTTGTTTTCTCCGTAAGATTCTGTCATATCTAAATACTCCGCAGCACATCGCAATACAGCTACATTTGACGTTGTGATCTCAAAGTTGATGCCGTAACAAAACTTAGCAGCTAGATCAAAAGCTTCGGCACCACCAGGTACATCTGTAAGCTGCAGCAAATTGGGATTCTCGCTGTCTGCCAAATTTGCTACAAGTTTCCTTATACGTCCACTCCTTGCAACCAATGGAAACTGAAAAAAAAGCCATTTCAATGTTGAAAAAGTCAATTCCCAAATCACCATTATGATGGAGAATAAAAGGGTGAGAATAGGAAAAGAAGCAAAATCATAATAATAATTTAAGAACAAACAAACAAAACAAAAGGTGCTTCAAATTCTGCATATTCTGCTGGTGAGTTCCATGCAAACGCACTAAGTTAGCTCCCTTTACAGAGCGAAATTTCAATGTTAAGCTGTTTTGAAAAATTCAGTCGAACATTACAAGCACTTGGCAAAAGAATTGTGAATAGATAACAAAGTGGAGCACCACTTTGCCCTTCTCCAGAGAGCGTGTAACCGCCCTCTTTACAGATGCAAATACTGTCTGCTGCAAAGGACAGTAATGACATACTGTAGCAATCAACCAGAAGACATTTAATAGTCTGTCAAGGTCATCTGCACCTAGTTACCACATGTGGATTCAACTACGGAGAGGAGCTAGAGAGTGAAAGATCTTTGATTTTCGAGTTACCAAGGAAAGATGTACCACTGCTAACCTTGTGTAACGAGAAATTCATACCCCCGGCTTCGACAACTATGTCGCTAGGAACATCCGTCGTTAATACCCTGCACCAGGTATGAGAAACTATTAGGAACGTACTCGCTAACAAACATAGATGCGTCTCTCCACACGACTTTGCCATATTCTTCAAGCAATTCAACCTCGAACATTGTCCTAATAAAATACCGTCGTACTTAAAACCTGTAACGACGAATACGAGACTAATCAGGTGAGTATTTATTAACGTTGAATACTTGGCAGCTGCACATGATGAGATTGTCGATGCTGATTAAAAAAATGAAATAAAAATCGAACCACTTTCCATACTTTCCAGAAAAACTACACTCAAAAGGAAGGACATTTGTGCACTTCAGTCCCTCTCTCAAATATCGATCCGCAACTGAACCCATTTTAGTTCCGCTGACATCATCTCGTTCGTCAAAATCGAAACCAAATACTTTCATGCGTTCTGAATACACATCCCGGCACTATTTGCTATAGGAACAAAAAAACGTAACGAGAATCTGGTGGTGAGCCTATAACGCAGAGTGCCCTGCTTTCGAGCACAAATTAACCAAACTTCCTGAATACTGCACAGCAACCTAGTCAAGTAGCCTTTCCGAAATTTCTTCAGCAGTATAATTTACCAGGTAAAAGCTTCACTGCACCCTACCAGCCTGTTAGCTATCACAAAAGTGCAGAATCGAAGACGAGTACGATTTTACGAAGGCATTTTTGGAGTGAAAGAGAGTGGAAGAGAGCTGAGGGGGCACTAAGGATATTCGGCGTCAAGATTCGTATGGCAATCTCGACAAAAAACTGCAATGTTAGAAAGTGGTAGAAGAATGTCAAGAGAAGAGATCACGGAATAGGACAGGAAGAGATGGTTACCACTCATTCGTGCGCTTCATAGAGAAGCTAGCACGTGAGGTTCTTCGCCCTGTCACGATGTCAAGCGAGTGCCTCCGGGCGGGTAGCGGCTTCAACGTATCAAACTTTGGCGTTACCGCCATGTCTGCACGCGTTCTCGCTAACCAATCCGATTTTACTCCTCTTTCTTCCAGCTTGCCTTCTCTATAGTATCCCCTGCAACTGCAATTTCACTTCTTCGCCAAGTCCTCCGACTCGTCTCTTAGAGTGAATCCGCAGCTTTTAAACCAGCCCCGACTTCAACTCTGTTTCCCTCTTGTTGTCCAAACTCCTAAACTCTGAATCTGTTTTGTGATTCTACACCCTTCGAACGACCTAATCCCCGTCGTATCGTGCTCTCGCCTCTTTCTATTAAGGCTCCTCAAGCATAATCAGATGCCGTGCAAGCCAGTGCTCATGATGCACCCAAGAGGAAAAGCGTCAGCGTACACATGAACATTCTGCAGAGCACCGAAGGGATGAAGGAGAAAGAGGACCACCAGATGGATTTCGCCTGAGGCAAGACCCCTTCCGTATGACTGCCAGAAATGCCTTGCCGTATTCAACAGCAGCTCCGGATTCCTCCTCTTCTGCAGAACTTCACAAGCTGGCAGAGGTAGGGAGGCTTGGAGGGATGGAGGGATTTGGCAGATGTAAAGTTCGTACTCGGCTGAGAAGGGCTATGCTGCTTCAATATGAAACCTGTGGCAGGACAAAAGAAGAGACGGAATGTGATTCTTACAGGAGGAAATGTCAGAGTTCGCTAAAAAGATGTAAAAATATAAATTTCTCGCACTAGGTGAAAAGACCAATTGTCCAGCTGCAACCTGAAACGACGAGAGGAGGAACTGAGAGAAGACAGACAACAGCTCTGCAATGAAAGGAGGAGGAGATCCAGGATCTCTGTAAGAAGAATCTTTACCGTTATTTACCAACGCTGAAAAAGCCAGTATTACAGCACGTGAAGAGGCGGAAAATCAAGTGTAGAAAATCAAGGGTAGAAAAAACAGATTCACCATGGCAAGTGAGCAGGAAGTGCGTTGCGGTACATCAATATTGCAGATGCCATGGAGAACTGTGTGGACTTGCGAGGGACAGCTGCAGCAGCAAATAGGAAGCAGATGACAGTGCATTCTCTGAAGAGAATCGTGGATTTCGACCCCCAGTGGTAAAAAGGGTGCAGAGCCTAGGAAGAGCCCTGAATTTCCGGCTCCGCTAACGATAAGGGTAATTACGTACAAAGGTGGGGTATTCTTTCTCGCCGGACCGTCGCAAACCAAGTGCGACTTTCCCCAACGACAACGCCTGCGGTAAAGTGCGCATAGTCACAAGGGAAAATCCAACTGCCTGGATGGGAGGGGGGGGGAGGTCGGGGTGGGCAGCGCGGAAGCTGGGATAAGCGGCAGTTGCAGCCATGAAGGCGCGGCGATTGAAGGGAAATGAATGAGGGCCACATGAAGGTGCTGCTGCAAGGGATCTCGGAGCCCCCGTATCTCGGATGGCCAGCACCCCACACCACTGGCGTGTCTGCGGCCTTGCGTGCTTGCCCTTGATTCCCCCACCCTCCCCATTCAACACCCCCTTTCTATTTCTGTTTCTACTTCCATTACCCATCTCTCGCTCTCTAGCTCGCTCACACCCCCCTCCTGGATCAAAACCACATAATAAGTTTAAAGGGGGGGGGGGGGGGGGGGGTCAGCCGCTGTAAAAAGAAATGCAGAAAAACCAGCGTGGGATATAACAACATGCTGGGAGTAAGATGATGATGATGCACAGGGGGAGATTGACTGATTGATAAAATGAATGCCCCTCCATCGTGCCCCCCCCAGGAGGACAATACATATGCTTTATTCATAAATAAATGGTAAAGTAATCAAAATATATAGAATTATGATAATTGAATACTGCGTGTGGTCCTTGTTGAAAAAATGGAAAATTACAAAACTTTAATTTAGGAATCGTCAGTAGTTACATATAATGCCAATTAATGCATTTAAAAAATAGAAATTCTAATTCATTGTTTAAATACTTGAGTGACTGTTTGACACGATTTAAGGAATAATAAATCTTCTGAACAGCTATGCTAATAAAGAATCACCAAGTTTGTTTCTTATAATCTCACATACTAAATTCTCAATATAATCAACATAAACTAACACAATTTACCTTCAACAACTGGGTTAAACCTCTTTTACGTAAAATTCTACATTCATGTTTGGATTTTCAAGTCGTGTTCTCAATGCATAAAATGCCAAAAGTAATAATTTTGCATGGTGTTGGTTGTTCATGTTTGTGTGTATGTATGAAAGAATTTATACATCCATATATTTAAAGGAGACAAACTTGAGAATATATTATTTACAGCAAGTAAAATGTGTGTGTGTGAGAGAGAGAGAGAGAGAGAGAGAGAGAGAGAGTTTTTGTTTTTTGCAACTCTTGCAAAGTAGTAAAATTTACTCACAAAGTTGTACAATCTCAATTTCGAAATGAACCCCACAAACACATGTAAGTATATAACTAAACTCAAGAAAATTTTAATTAACAAACAAATTCAATTGTAAATGTTACAACAAACACTCAGAATGATATAGGAGATACAAATATTTTTGGAATTCATTTTTATCGTAAATAATAAATTGAACTTTTTTAAATTTAGACGTACTAAATCTATTCGAACCACTAACAACAACTCACGTGACAAATTTAGATTAATTTATCATATTCAATGCCTACAAATTAAAAGTACTCACATCAGTACAATAAGCTTTACAGCCACACAAATCATTGAGCACAAGTAAAAGTTAAAACAAGAAGCTTTTATGAAAAAGAACGTTTGTGGCGGAAAAATTACTATAACAATTTCTTGTACTTTTCATGTACAAGTAAATTGGACATTTACACAAACAAAAATATATATTACAATAAATCATATAATTGTCATTCATACTTCATGTAATTTTTGTGAGTTATGTCATGCACAACTTGTTTATTAGGAACTAGTCAACAAAATAGAATATTCGAGATTATGCACACAAGTTTTTTCAGAAATTCACTAATGCTCATTTCCAATTCAGAAAATATCATTTGAAAAATTATTATTCTTGAAACTAAAGTATTGTAGAAGCTATTTTACATATACAGGTTATCTGTAATTTCAATTGCAAAATAATTATATACAATATCAAAAGAAATACCAAAAAAAAGAATACATCTTTAAGAATAAGTAATATGTTATTTATTTCTTTTTCGGTTTTATTCATTTAAATCTTTAAGCACAGATTATTTTACCTAACAATACCTCACTTCTGTTAAATAAATTTCATCATTAAATGCTACCATATTGGTATTTAATAAATTCACTCACAAGTTTGCGGATTTAAAAAGAAAACTCAAACATTTCTTATGTTAAAACATGATACCTCTAGAGATGCTTTGTAGTCCAACAAGTTTCTTGAGTAAAATAAACAACAAATAATATACAAAATTATTTGTGTTATTGAAATATATATAAATGCCTTGAAACCTTTATGTTTTATGTGATTATATACATATAGAGTTGCTCAAGCAATACCCTCATGTTTTAAATTCTTGTTTTTTACTTGAAAAATCAATCTTTAACCCCAAAGCTTTCAACCATTGATTTTACACATGATGTCTATTTCAAAACACATACATAATTTAAATTCCAGTTGGAAAATTTCAGGTTCCAAAGATATACAAAACATAATCAAGTGATCCAACAATGTTTAAATTATATTAAGATCTTTTATCTTTTAATTGCAATTAGAAGATTGCAATGCAACATCAACAACAATTTAGTCACAAAAAATAAAAATAAAAAAATATATATAAATAAAAATAATGTCTCTATTCAAGATTATAGTTGCTATTCACAATGATAAGAAACAAAAAAAGAGGATGGAGGGGGGGACCAAGATGGGAGACAAGAGATGAGGGGATAGGATTGAGAACATGGACTATATGGAGAGGGAGTGAGGACATGGGACAAGGACTTCAAACAAAGACAAGAGAGTTAGGACAGAGAACAGTGGACAGGGGCCAAGAAGTAAGGAGGGGAGATGGAAGATAAACTAAATTAATCATGAGAACCTAAAGGGGTGTTGAAATAACATGGGGTTGTTGCTTTAGCATATATATATGTATATATATATCTTAAATATTAAAATAAATTCGTATTATTATATTTAAGATTTTGCTTATTAGCCCAAACAATACATTAGTAGCAAGTGTGTATTTTATTGTGGCTTACAAATTAGGAAATATATATTAGATATTGGTTTTGAGTACCTATTAATGATGTGAGTAGCCTCCATTTTTATCACACAGTGTCAAGCAATTGCAAAAATCAGTAGTTGTTCACAGACCCAAGAGTTGTAAGACTTGATATCAACAATATTAAATTTACTGACAATACCTTGTACCATTGAAATATATCAAGAATCTAATCATAGGTTGAACATCTTTTGGCACCTCTTTGAAGGAAAACCCCTCAGGATAAATTTACATCATTTTTCAGTGTGGTATTTGTGGATGAATCTCCAATCTATATTTTCTCATTCATTCACATAACCCCTCCAAGGATTTATCATTCTGTCTATTCTAATACATTGCCACCTATCCAGATCAAAACGTCAAAGTGAAGAAAAAGGAAAAAATGAACTTCCTTGAAAGTTCCCTAAGGAGTTTGCTAGAGTACAACCCTGGAAAACAGTTCTCCAGAATGAGTCCAAAAGTTTTATGGCTGGTTTGAGTTCTTTTGACACAAACTTCTCACTGTTGTTTGTAGCTGTGAGCTGTATTTGTGCACTTTTAGACTTTTAAGTTAATCTAGTTCTCATGTAATTTCGACCCTGTCATTCTTTTCCTTCTTTCCTTCATTCTTACTTGTTTATATCAATAAATAAATAAATAAATAAATATATATATATATATATATATACATGTTTTATTTTTCATTTCATCACCAATAACCTACTAATAAAATTCATCAATTCATGACCTGGCTCTACATGGTGAAGGAAAACCAGAGAAATCTAAGGTTTATGCTGCTCAATTTATGGACAGTTGCCAAACACCGATTGTATGGCTCATAGTACCTAATTGAGGGATCAGTAGAGGAGAACATGGGAACAGACTTCAGATCGTACCAGAATTGCCGGATGACATGGCACACTGTGACAGGTATTCAGAATCTCTTATCCATTAACAAAACTTCTGTGGCCCACCTCACTGTGAGCTGCTTTCACAATGCAAGCTGTTCAGAGTTGCTTACACTACTTTTTCTTTTCATATACTTTTTGAACTTTTTCGTTTTTTATTTTTCTTTTGTGAACTGGAATGGATTCAATATAATTCTATCCAACCAGTATCGTCTGGTCATCCTGTTGTGATCAATTCTCATGGCTTTTGGCTTTTTGATATGAAGACTGAGCTGTGATAACTCATCACCACCACTGGTTTTCACTCAAGCTGGATCCTGTGTCACAATTCAAATAGAAATGGACACATAAAATTCCACTATATTTATTTGGTAAGTTTGATCCCTTTCCCAAGTATTTTGAACTCCATATGCATGAAGTGTATTTTGATCAATTTCAAGGATGATATTTGGTGTGTTGTTGTGTCACCAGTATCTCACTAGTTTTGATTTTAGTAACTTTTTGGAATCAAAATTTGAATAAACAATGCTACCCAAAATTGTGTGTGTGCATACCCTTCTAATTAACCTCTTTCTCTCTAGCAACCAAAGAAGCAAAGTTAAAACATGGAGCCAGCAAGCATGTAGAAGTTGAAGTAGCAGTGAATTAGGTGGCCATCATCTAATGATGAGGTGGTCATTAACCATAATGTTACATTTGCAGACTTTGTCTTGCAAAGGAAAACAAGACAGGAGGATAATAAGTACCATGTGCCATCAGGCTTCAACCACTTCAAACCCCAGTGGGTATCAACACATAATATTATATTTTAACAACTTTAGTTTCTGTATATCATTTTCTGTTTTGTTTTTAATGTTCATATGTTTTTGTGGTCATTATTCTTAGA